AGTACACACACATATATTATGTAAACAAAAACTTTCATTTTGGATTCGTTTAATCTCTTGACAGCACTAAATATATATATATATATATATATATATACTGTATATACTGTATATATTATCGCTTAACTCAAATCTGTAGAATGCAACTATGAGGTATGAAGATATACATTTACATTTAGTCATTTAGCAGACCCTGAAAAGTGCCCTGGGTGTATTGTCACAAAATATATATAATTATCGCTCAGCTCTAACCTGCTGAATGTAACTATAAGATATTAAGTTATTATAAACATTAACATCGTGATTTTCTTGAAAGCTGATTTGAAACGATGTATATTGTGAAAAGCGCTATACAAATAAATTTGACTTGGCTATCTAACAAGTTGAGGCTGTTGTTATCTGTAAATGTCTTCATACCAGATCAGTGTTGGACTGTAATAACTCTTTGGTCCATGTAGAGTCGATGGTGGTACAGAAAGTCTCGTTCAGACGCTGATGACTGCTGCGAAGTGCCTGATGGAGATCAGCCAGCAAAAACACACTTATTCAGGCTTTAATGCATGAAAGTTGCCGTATTGGCAATGTGTACTTTTCTTGATATGCCTATTTCTGAAACTTGTAAAACTTGTTCAGAAATGACTATATAATCTTTTGTGTGTACTGACCTGTAAAAGGTTTATATTGGTTTCCAGCTGTGTCCGGCACTGTTGGACTTTGCTTTTGAACTGACCGAGCTCACTGAACAGGCTCTAAAACACAAACACAGACACATCAGTAAACATTCATCACAGAGTGGCACTGTAAGATTTTATATGGCAATAGTGCATCACCTCAGTGTCTGTGAGGACGGCGTGAGGGTCGTGTGCTTCCTGTGTGCTGTCAGGCCTCAGAGTCACTCGGGTGTGTAACTCCTCCAGCAGAGCCCAGCGCTTCTGTAACCCGCTCTGAACCGCACACACACTCGCGTCGCACTCACGCTGAACCTGCAGCAGAGAGCGCAGACTGCTCAGCCTGAGACACAGAACATCAGCATTATAAACACAACAATACAACACAATCATAAAAAGAATACACTAGGCTGAATATCAGTTCAGAACAGACAGGGTGCTGCATGAAAACTGACTAGATAAATACTGTGCCAACGTTTGGAGTCAGTAAGTGTTTTTAAAATTTTTTAAAGAAATAAAAACCTTCATTTAGCAAGGATGTATTAAATTGATCAAACGTGACAGTAAAGACATTTATAATGTTCTAAAAAAAAATGTAAAAAATATTTCAAATAAATGCTGTTCTTTTAAATTTTCTAATAATCAAAGAATCCTATAAAAATGTATCACCGTTTCCACAAAAATATTAATGTTTGTTCATTACAATACTTAAATTTTTGATAATTTTGACGTTTTTACTACTGCCCCGTTAACCTCTACCTATAACTTTTTTTTTTCCTTTAATTTTCGAAATGTTATCTTTATTTTTCGGTAATTCTGTATATTAAATTACATAACTTGCCTGATTTATGTACACTGTCATTCATGGTTGGACACTTATGTCTCATAATCCTAAAAACTTTTTAATATAAAGATTTAAGCATAAAATTTGTTTTGTAACAATTATTAACTGTGCGTACACTGAAAAAAAACAACAACTTTGTTGCCCACTGCCTTCAAATTTTTTTCTGCGTGATGCAGTTGTTTCAACATGCGTTTTTGAGCTAAAACAACAGTTACACTAGTTCATTCAACTTTCAACTTAGTTGAGGGCCAATAAACTTATATTTTCTTGTTTATAAATGTATTTTAAAAATTTCTAAGATTTATAAAAAATTTGTTATATCTACACAAAAATGTTGTCATGGCAAAATCTCAAAATTATTTTTTACAGCGTATGTGCATAATATTTATATATTATATTATAAATATATTTATTTATTTATTTTTTAATGGATGGGTTGGAGTGGATATTGAATATCCGGTATACATGAGAACTCCTTCAGTGCCACCTAAAAGCATCCCAGGATGCACCTCATGATGTTTGTTGAGAGAATTAACAAAACTGACATCTAAAGAGTGCCGACTAAAGAAATCAAAATATAAAATAGTTTTGATTTGCGTAACATTTTTGGTCACTGTATCTTCTATAATTCTTTTTTTTTGTATGTGATCATTTGAATGACTTTACAATTAAAAATGATTAGGTGTGTCTGAACTTTTGTCTCTAGTCATACGCATTGACAATACGAGTGCACAGATGAACATTAAAGTGCCCCTATTATGGATTTTTGAAAATTACCTTTCAGGCAGTGTGTAACACAGCTCTAAGTGAATGAAAACATCCTGCAAAGTTTTAAATCTGAAAGTGCACCGTGTATAAAGTTATTGTCTCTCAAAAGAAAGAGTGGACTCAGAATCATTGAAACGAGTCGTTTTTAAAATGAATCCCAAGCCGTTCATGTTGATGTCAACATGAAACATTAGCATATTGCCCGCCTACTTGTTGGTTGTTTCGTGTTGGTCGGAATGAAAATGCAAATTCATTCTTTGCCACTAGGTGCTGCTTTTGGAGCGGTAAAAATAGCGGTTTCCCCGGTAACGCTGTACACAAAGCAGCACTGCGCTCACAAACGCTGCTTTATCAGGCATTACAGACATGATGAAATGAAACTGAGACCAATCGACCAATCACCGCAGATTAGCATCATGCAAAGTAGGGGTTTGGAAAAATGAATCGTTGAGCGAATTGTTTGGAAGTCGTTGAGCAAGTAAGGTACAAATAAATGCATATTATAAGACAATGAAAGTGTTTTTTGACCTTGCATGCATGTCAACCTGTTGTTGGGGACTCTCAAAACCAAAATATGAACCTTTCATTACCCATAATAGGGGCACTTTAAAATGAAACTGGATATTGAGAGGCAGAGCGTGAGAGATGTCTCTTCACATGACAGCTTGTTTTCTGAAATCATACATGACACAAGACTGGGTGTGAGACATTTTTGGTGGAGTTCAAACCTAGAAACAACCACACACATAGAAGCCTGAACAGTTTGTGACAATGGGTAAATATTTGTCATATCTGTTCATCTCACCTGTCCCTCAGGTAAGAGCGTATATGGTTAACTCTGTCTTGAAGAGCACAGTTCTCCTTTTCCTCAGTTTCTTCCTCATAACTCTTCCTGTGGAGAGTCTGAGACACTGCCTGAATGCAAAAAGACAAAAAATGATTGGTATTTACAAACATCACAGATTCCTGTTCAGCGGGATCAACAAGAGCATTCGGTTTCCAACAGCAACATCATTTGAAACGTGAATGACAATATATGTAAGGAGCTAGACATGACAGTTCACGGAATCGCTGGCCGTCTCAGTGATCAGCCGTAAAACAGTGATTCTGTCCCTTACATATTATTGGTGGAGTTCCCTTTAAAATCTTAAATGATTCCCTTTGAGCTAAATTGACCTGTTTCCCTTACACCTAGAAACAACCACACACATAGAAGCCTGAACAGTTTGTGACAATGGGTAAATATTTGTCATATCTGTTCATCTCACCTGTCCCTCAGGTAAGAGCGTATATGGTTAACTCTGTCTTGAAGAGCACAGTTCTCCTTTTCCTCAGTTTCTTCCTCATAACTCTTCCTGTGGAGAGTCTGAGACACTGCCTGAATGCAAAAAGACAAAAAATGATTGGTATTTACAAACATCACAGATTCCTGTTCAGCGGGATCAACAAGAGCATTCGGTTTCCAACAGCAACATCATTTGAAACGTGAATGACAATATATGTAAGGAGCTAGACATGACAGCATAATGACTGCTGACACATTCTATTAATGACTGTGTTCATTCTGACAGACGTGTCAATGCACCACCCATCCATTACAGACGCACCTCTAGTCTGGTGAGGAGGCCTCGTATGTGTGGCTCGCTGGGGTCCGGCAGGGGCTCGGGCAGGAGGGACACCGCTAAACCATCCGCTAGAGCATTGACCTGGGATTCAAGATGACCTGCATCCTGCTGTGGACTTATGCTAATAAGATAAATGAAACAAATGTTTTTAACCAAGTGTAGAGTAGTGCAGGTATGACGTCAGAACCAGGAAGACTAATTCGCTGCTATAGTTCCTTCGAGATTTTCCTATGGGGTGGTAAGATAAGACAGTTTTTAAGATAACACAGTTTGGGGTGTGAGTGCAGTTTATGTTGTAGAACAAAACGTCAAAGTATCATCAAGTTATGTTTACCACAGGCTTTATTTTACTCATACATTCACTGAGTTAACAGATGAATAAATACTGTAACACCTCCTCCTCGGCCCTGAGTCCCGCTCCGCTCACAGCAGCTCCACACATGTCCCGTGCTCAGCTGAGGCATGTATCCTCATGGACGTCCTGCTGGAAGTGTTTGAGATCCTCGGCCCATGCAGTGGAGACTCAATACTGGATTTTCTAGTTGTACCAGTCGGTCCAGCAGGTTTAATTCATCAAACACTAATGTTTATTGTTTTCCTTGTTGGTTTGTAAGAAGAGTATGTGCGGAATGCGGTGAGGGAAGTCAGGCACTGCCCGACCCACCTGTGCCAGCTGCACCACTCCCTCCTCAAACACATACACATTCAGGGCCGGAGTGGGACTCATTATAGAAGAATTGTGACTCAAGGGTAGTAATTTAGGAGGTGAAAATACTGTGAAATTACAAATGGCATGGAATTTGAAAACATAACAACTGAAGGTCTATGAAACGTCAGTCAATAAAGCATTTTTTTTTAACAATGGCACTTAAAGTTTTGAACTAAAATATGATTTCAACCATATAGCCTGTGAATGAATAAAAATGCATACTTTTCAAAGAACACTTAGAGTGTAGGTTGCCCCTGGTGCTTG